ATATATATATATATATATATATATATATATATATATATATATATATATATATATATATATATATATATATATATATATATATATATATATATATATATATATATATATATATATATATATATATATATATATATATATAAACCCTAAAACCCTTATAACCCTAAACCCGAATTATGACGAATAACCTGGTCCTACTCGGAATATCGTACTCTACACCAACCCATTCCACGGCACTACACGGCGCAGACCCGATCCGTACCACTGTAGAAATACGGCCTCCGGTCAGTCTAAAATATCAAGATCAATTGAGATAATACATTGGTTTTTGTTTGTATTTTAAATAATTTAATACAAGCTCTTTTTCCAATATTTCCAAAGTGTTCTAAATGCACTTTGATGGCTACAATAGCCTGAGTATTTGATATGACTCATTTACTTGGACCTATTTGAGACTATAGCAGATGTAGGATATTATAACTAAATTTTATAATCTCTGAACTACTACTTACAGGTTTTGGTCTTCCCGCCAATCTCCAAAAAAAAAACAATACGTCTTTTTCTTTTTTTAACTTTTCTTCAGATGGAACTTTATTTATATTAGCTGACATATTAGCTTTGACTTGTTCAAATGTATATCTGCAAATTAGACATGTGGTCATGAACACTTAGTACTTCTAGTGATAATTATTCAATAAAAAACAGCTAGAGGTACGGCCTGTGTGATCGAGAATATTAAGGCTCTTACCAAGAGGCAGTCCCGATCATTCTTACACAAGCTACCACTGCTAAATCCTAACTGACTTAAATTGTACCTTGGTTTATATAACATAGTTTAAAACATAGAAATATCCATCGAAGTTTACATATCGTTGTTAAGTGCTGATAGCACTATCTCAGCAACATCGTTTCAATCGCCTGTCTTCCTACTGAGGGCTTTTCATAGGAGTTGACATTGGTCAAAGCTGTATGATATCTTACTCGCAGTCGGGGTTTTCAAATCAGATAAGCGCAGTAGGACTACTACAGATGATAGGATGTTTAGTATATTCTTGACTTTGGCCCACCAGGCATCGTTTCCAACATACTAGTGCTTTAGCATCAAGATACATCTTTGCCTGTGCACACTTTCTTCTGCCTTGCTGCTGAGGTGCTCATGTGCGTAATTATTTTCGCAAAAAATATGCAACTTACGATACCGTCTCTGAGCTCAGAAATCCTGAGAGGTACGTATAGAGACTTCACAAATTGCATATCAGTTGTCTTCAGTGGCCGAATCCGTCTATTCTTTGTCACAGATGTATACTCGTCAATCAACGCCATGAGGTGTGCTGATGACCAGAATAACTTGATAATCATTTGCCTCGTGAAAACAGCAATACTCTGAGGGATTGTGAGGCTGAGACATTGCCTATATATAATCCTCTCAGTACTGTTTCTGCCGAAGGGATTTTATTTAGTGTTTCGTTGTCGCTCTATTCTGGGGCGAATCCGAGAGACTCATAAAATCCTATCTTTAGAAAAAACAAATAAAAATAAAAATACTCTTGACGTCTTTAGTTATTGTCTTAACCAATAACTTGCCACTATCAAGAAATACCGACTTAGCCTTCATCAGACTGGCACATCTGGTTGGCTTATCGGAGGATCAACTAGGTAACGTTAATAGTCCCTAGAAACCTATATTCGGTTGAGCCATCTCGCTACCGAAGTATTCAGATATAAATAAAATTGGAAAGTAAATAAAGCTCTATTAATAGAACTAGACCAACTCTTTTATGTTTGGTATTTTACTGAGGCTTTTTAATGGCCTCATCCAAATATCTGATATGTTAAATGAAAAAGTTTAATTAATAAAACCATTAAAACCATTTTAAGAAACTAAGTTCCTCGTGCTATTAAGAGCACATTTAGGAGACTTAAGTTCCTCGTACTATTAAAGAGTACATTTAGGAAACTTAAGTTCCTCGTACTATTAAGAGTACGTTTATAATTTGCGTACTGCTTAAGAGTACGTTTATACATAGAGTCTAATGTGGAGGCCCGGCTTATTACATCTCGTACTCTGCCAGAGTCTCCGCGATCAGAGCCTTCTCACATATCTTTAACAGTACAAGATTAATGACATGTATCGTGTCTGGTGCACAAAAGATCAATGGGAACTTCTTCTCGATGATGGGCCAGGAGTTAACCATGTTTCTAGTGCGATACCACCGCGTGGCATCTGTGTTATTAAATCCCAATATCTGCGTTGAACTGATCTGTGTGTCTGATGCCCTCGAGTGTAAACTGTTTCGTATTGAGCATTGTACACTTCGATGGATATTTCTATGTTTTAAACTCTGTTATATAAACTAAGGTACAATTTAAGTCAGTTAGGATTTAACAATGGTAGCTTGTGTAAGAATGATTGGGACTGCCTCTTTGTAAGAGCCTTAATATCATCGATTACACAGGACGTACATCTAGCTGTTCTTAAATGAAAAATTTTCACTAAAAGTACTAAGTGTTCATAATCACATGTCTAATTTGTAGATAGACATAAGAACGTAAGTCAAGTTAATACATTAGCTAATATAAATAAAGTTCCATCTGAAGAAAAGTTAAAAAAAGAAAAAGACGTATTGTTTTTTTTTGGAGATTGGCGGGAAGACCAAAACCTGTAAGTAGTAGTTCATAGATTATAAAATTCAGTTTATAATAACCTACATCCACTATCGTCTCAAATAGGTCCAAGTAAATGAATCATACCAAATACTCAGGCTATTGAAGCCATCAAAGTGAATTTAGAATAGTTTGGAAGTATTGGAAAAATGACTTGTATTAAAATGTTTTGAATACAAATAAAAACTAATGTGTTACCTCATTTGATCTTGATATTTTAGACTGTCTAGACGCCGTATTTCTACAGTATGGCGATTGGAATGTGAGAAAGAATACCAGCAACTTTTGAGACGGCATTAAGTAAACTTTCTGTAAACATAGTCGCACCATCCATAGCAATTGTTATCCCAGTATTCGGCATATACTTTGTTAGCAACTCCTCTAACTTCACCTTCGCCCTCGCGTATTCTAAGGGCATATTCGTGTTGGTCCATAATTGAATGGGGAGGTGCCGCTCGAGCCGCGCGTATTACCTAGCTAAACCAAGGTCTGTTTACTAGTTGGAAAGGTAGGTCGTGCCTGGCAAACTCTTTAGCGATCGCTGTATCGAGTGCATCGGCACACTTTGATTTTCCTGAGAGAAGGGTGTCTTTGAATCGCCCGGCCTTGTTTTTATTCTTTTTGTCCTTCATCGGAGTTTTAGGGATGCCCTCTAAGGGATCTTCGTCTTTGTCTCTCTCCTCATCCTCGATGCCAGAATCGAGATTGATGACTGTTTGTTTGCCAGCGTAGGTAGTCTTCTCATCTTTTGCAACACAACCGACGGTTTGCCCATCACGATCGCCAGGAACTCTAATTGAATCCTCTCCACTACCTTATCACACTCTGATAGGTGTTCACGCTTTCGACTGGCCGGCGTCTTTTTAGCAAACTGCTTCTGGCATGCCATACCTCTGATACCGTGTTCTTTGTTGCTGTCTAATCTGCATTCCTCAAAGTATTGATGTGAGTGACACGCTGGCCTTCCACCGATTTTACGTGGCATGTCGATAGTAGTTAGCTATGATGCTGTTTTTATACACACATATAAGCCACCTTTGAGTGATACAATAACAATATTGAATATAGATACTTGTGAAGTTAACTAACCACGGCAGTTCTCAATTGTCAATTGACAATTTTGAGTTCTGACACTTTGTCAGTCGACTCGAACCGCCAGAGCAAATGGGTGGGCTTGCCAGTTGCTACGGGTTGTCTGGCGCATAGTTGGGTTGACCGTTAGGCGTTTATGACTGTATGTCACAGACTCATACTGTAACTGATAATTGATAAGTGTGTCAGTGTGAACTGTTCACTGCTGTCCTTCATGTCATTGTGTCAAAGTTGAAAGTTCAAACTGACTTAAAAGTGGAGACAACGTTTTTATAATATGAATTGTTGAGCTTGTCCCTCATTTGTCTGGTATTTATACATGGAGTCGTCCACAAGTTCCTAGATTCCAATTATATTCACCCTGAACATTTATGTCTAAAAACCCAATTTGATCCAGTTTTTGTCACTACAAGGTACCCCGATTTCTATAGTTTTCTCAATTTCCATATCCATTAGTTGATGTTATATTTTTTTTTAAAAAAGCCAAAAACAAACAAAAACAAAATATAAATAGACATGTAAATATGCACATACTTTTGTGAATACTCAAATAAAATATAAATAAGTAAATAATAAATATGTACCCCAAGTTCCTCAGAGAGTATTTAAATACATAGAGGGCGCATGCTTTTTGTATTTGATTCATGATTTTTAAAACAATTGCCAGAACTTCAAGCAAAATTGGAGAACTGTGGAGACTGGAGACTGGAGTGTGGACTGTGGTGTGTGGAGTGTGGAGTTGTGAACTGAGGTGAGAGTAGACTGGTTGACCACTGGACTCTGCTCACTCTAGTGGTGGTGGGAAGAGTGGGGAGTTGGAGACTGGAGAGTGGAGACTGGAGAGTGGAGACTGGAGAGTGGAGACTGGAGAGTGGAGAGTGGAGACTGGAGACTGGAGACTGTATGGAGACTGTAGACCTAAATAAATAAGTATGGAGAGCAATAAAACACCTGGGGCTGGGGGCTGGCCGGCTGGGTCCTTGCTGGGATGCATTTTGGATTTTTCGAGGAAGTATACTGATAAAAAAAATAAAAGCATGTATTTATTTACTATATTTACGACATGGTATTTTACCATTTTTCAATAAAAACCCTAGAACCCTAAACGCAACTGCAAAGTCTACCAGTTGTAAACCTCGGTCGTAAACTAGTAAAACTACCGTTCACATATCCCGGTGTTTGGTATTTCATAATACAAGAACCAACCAGAATCGCTTAGAACCTCTGTTACATGTTCCCCATCTTCGATCGTAAAGACTGTTGTAATATATTTTAAGACCGTCAGAAATATTACTGGTTTCCAACATTTCTGGTGTCGTAAAGTATGTCATCTTTTGTTTTGTGTTTATACTTCTATTTAAAAAAAAAAAATTTCTTCTTCTTTTTATTATAAAAAAGTTCAATTTCATGTATAGCCTTTTAGGTTCTCTTTGTTTCAAGAATCAAGGCATTCCGATTTTAGCTGGGCTAGTTTATGACAGCACTTTTCGCTATGACGACATGTCAAAGACCGTAGTAAACTATCTCGGTATGAACGGCAGGTCCAGACATGTCTTTTATTACAGTCATAAGTCCGATATACCATATCGCGAGTTCACAATGGGTCGGAAACTAGTTTGCTAATAAGAACATGTCTGTCGTATACCAGGCCAAGATTTTAGGGCTCAGACCTTAGCCCTCAGGCCTTAGCCTCAGGGTCACCGGCCCATAGGTATTCTTACCAATAGAAACGTTTGATTTTGACCAGTAGCGTGAGTCTATACATTCGGGTCACTGTTTGGTACACTACACCCATTTATGATTTTATCATATAGCCTTCGAAAATGTCTGAGGTTCTATTTGAATTGAAACAGATTTGTGACACTAAAACACATGTCTTTTTATCAAGAGAATATAAGCCATAGTACGTAATTGAACTGGAGTAGGTAAGAATGTCCATGCTTTGCCGCAATACGTAAACTAATCGAATACGTAATTCGTTTTTGGTTTACAACACTCTCGGTAAACGTCTTCTTCAATATGTTTGTTTTTTAATTTATTTGAAACTATTTTCTGAGTACAGTTTCAATAAATGTAAAAATATCGTCTGGCTCTACTGAAGGTTCAACAATATAAGGTACAGTTTACGTAGAAAAGAGCATATATTTACCTAAATTAGAGCTCCGGATTTTGCCGGGAAAAAAGATCCCCAGTGTTTTATTTAATATATATATATATATACAACTGGTAATATTTTGTAAAACTTTGAAACTTAAATATTTACGAGAATTCGACTCTACGACTCTACGTCCTAGAGCTCCTACGGCTACGACAATATTTATTAATATTATATTTATGTAAAATATTGTATTGCATTAAGCATCATGCATGTGATGATGAGATGTCTCCAGACTCGTCCAATGCTATGCATTTTATAAGTTGTATTTGACGGTATCGTATATTTGATTCACACTCTTGCTTCTTTCAAATAGTGAACAAATATTAAAATTCATCTCTATTGTTTTATACGAATATCATATTTAAAATAATTTCGATACTTATCAGCGAGAGATGATTCATTTACCGAGAGTCTCTTGTGCAGGAATGAAGAAAAGCAATATATATATATATTTTAAAATAATGATCCTGTTCTATAAAAGTCGCCTCTTTTATTTTCAGCTATTCACTTTTGAAAAAACCTTGCATGTAACAGAACAATTACTTTAGGAATCAGGTTTTGTTGTAAGCACTTGAGATTTACAACATGACTAAATCCGATGTCGAGGCGATGAGGGAAAACTCCTCAGCGGAGCTTGCGATCGAAGTCGAAGAGAAGTCCGATAACGAGTCGGAGTCAGAAAAGTCGAGAACGTCGAGGAAGACACGAACATTCTGGAGAGGTTACAGTGACACTGAAGATATCATTGGTATGGCCGATGTGCTAATCCCCAATGACTATGCAGGAGACTGGACGTTTGAGCACAGAGCTCTTAGGTGGATGGACTACCTTTGCTTAGGTGTAACGATTCCTTCGCTGATATTCGCGCTCACTTTTGTGCTCGTGTTCGCTATATTTCCCGACACAATGCAGTCGGGCGCATCGACTGCGCTAACATGGGTTGGCGCCAATCTTGGCTGGTTCTACATTCTTTGTGTAGCGGTTACCATCCTAATTCTGGTATACATCGCGGCTTCGAGCTATGGGGAAATAAAGTTGGGCCAGGACGATAGCGAGCCTGAATTTTCCATGGGGTCTTGGATTGCTATGTTGTTCTCAGCCGGCGTCGGAGTAGGAATGGTATTTTATGGAAGTGGAGAACCTCTCTTTAACACTGTTTACCCTCCGGTAGAATACTATGGAGGAGCAGCGCAATGGGCTGTTGCAACTACGGTATTCCACTGGGTAAGTTGTGTGACACGGAAACCTCGTTCATGATCTTTTGATTTTTCGTTCTATTGGCAGAGAGAAATGCCCATTTTCTCAATATCACTATTATCCGTTCCCTTGAAACAGGGTGTACATGGGTGGGCCATTTACTGCGGTTTAGCTTTGCCCCTAGCCTATTTCAGTCATCGACTGAAGTTACCTCTGACTCTTCGTAGTTCGATGTATCCGCTTCTCGGACGATACACAGCAGGGGTAAGTGATTTTATAGCAATTTCCTTAAAATTTGATCAACATTCTACACTTCAAAAAGCCAAACATACCATTTTGTGGGCCTCAGAACTCATTTTTTAAACGGGCGCCTTTTTCCTTCCCAAAAAGAAGAGCAATTTGTGGTCGGCAGAATTTCAAAACTGTGTTTTAGAGATTTCAGCCTTCAGCTTTTTCAGTTTCGTTGATTGCAAAATAAAAGCAATATGTGGTAATTTTTATCCTTACGTTTTTCAGTGGATGGGACATATTGTGGACACCGTTGCCGTCTTCGGCACCATTGGAGGTCTATGCACGTCACTTGGCCTAGGTGTACTGAACATCGTTGGTGGATTAGATTTCGTTTTCGACATCAGATCAAATCCAGACGATGAATTAGTGTGGCTTCAGGCTGTGATAGTTGGTCTTACAACTCTGATGGCTTGCATTTCGATATCCACTGGACTGCGAACGGGTGTGCGTCTCCTATCCAATGCAAACGCCTGCATGGCACTATTTCTCTGCTTCATGGTCTTCATTTTGAGTGACCCCGTTCATCTGCTCCGTATGACGGTTGAGAATGTGGGCATGTACGTGCAAATTCTTATTATGCGCACCTGGAGAACTGGTGCTGGAGACCCCGACGAGCTGAGTTGGATCACAGGCTGGAGTGTTTTGTAAGTAATTTACGAACTCGTTCACATTTAATTTGATTTGGTGAAAATTGCTGTGTTTTATCAGTGTTGTCAGAGTATCAAGACATATTTTTGAACGCACAATACCACAACTAACTAACATATCTCTATGCTCGGGCAAACAGCTACTGGGGATGGTTCTACAGCTGGTCTCCCTTTGTCGCCGTCTTTGTTGCTCGAATCTCGAAAGGCCGGACTATCCGTCAATTCATTATATGCGTGATGGGTGCCCCGACCCTTGCGAGTATCGTGTGGTTTTCAGTCCTGGGACAAGCAGGTATCGATCTGCTCGAAAAACAAGTTGCGAATGGAGCCGACCCTCTCAATGCTCCCGTCGATACAATCTCTGAATATGACATAGCGATTCAGATTTATGTTTTGATCAAAGGTCTAGGTCCTGAATGGTTATTCTACGTTTTGTCCGTGGGCACCATGGTTCTGCTGATGGTATTCTTCGTGACGTCAAGTGATTCTGGAACGCTAGTTATTGACAGCATGGCGTGTGGAGGACAGCTCGATTCACCTGTACTTATGAAGTGTGTCTGGTGCGTATTGACTAACGCATGCGCCCTTGTGCTTCTGATCTCTGGAGGAAGTAATGCTCTCGTGGGTTTGCAAGCGGCAAGTGTGATCATTGGTCTGCCTGTCGCCATCGTATACATCTTTATTATGCTTGGATTGCTCGCTGGCTTGCGTCGCGACCCCTACATCGTAGACGAGGCGAGTGATAAGATGGAAAAGATGCACACCAGATTCACGTACAAGGATGTATACGAGGGTAAAGGTGTACCGAGACGAAATACGCTAACGGTTTCGCAACTGAATCGAGATCGTTCATCTTTCATTTCGCTTCAGTAGGTACGCCGTAATGCATCCACGAACTCGTCAAAGTTTCGATGAACTGGTATGTTCACAGGATTATATAATATGTACAGTATCCTGCAAAAAAAAAATAATACATTAGAAAAATTACTGTAAACCGAATCGATCACACTATCCCCCCTGTAGAACAGTAATAAATATATATCAAGAGACATGTTTTTCTATTTTCATAAGAATACAATACAATTAAAAAAAAACACTTTGTTCATAGCCTTCTAAATGTACAAGGAGGCTATGATTAAAAATACTTTAAAAGCCCTCAAAAGGCTCAAATTCTCAGCCTTCTTCTGAAAATAAGAACATAAAATAAATTGAACAAAATAACTAGCCCACCTTTTTTTTTGAAAATAATTTTCCACACTATTCATATATGTAATGTAACATTTATTTATTTATTTGCAGACCCTGTAGTGCCTGCCGGTGTTGGTGTCAACAAATATATAACGTACTGTGAAGTGTGAACTGTCTATAATATAGCCACTCTTACATATATTAAAAGTGTTGTGTAGTGTGTACTACCGCAACAATTCTATTCGTTGGCTGCATCGAGATATCATCTTTCGGGCCCTCAAAAACCAACAGAAGAGAAGTTTGTGCGATATGGCGGAACATGATTTGGTCCCCTTTTACGATGGGCACACGGACACAAAAATCGAGCAAGATTTGCAAAATTCATATTTGCGTACTCAGTTTAAGCGATCACTCTACTCTGCAACCATACGTCCGGCACTCGGTTACCTCGGGGATGGTGTGAATACGATACAAGACAAGGTGTGTACCTATCCAGCGTGTGGTTTAAGAACGGCTACATGTTCGCAAGCTATGTGTATGTATCTGTATAATATATGCATTCACATACACACACACACACACACACACACACACACACACACACACACACACACACACACACACACACACACACACACACACACACACACACACACACACACACACACACA